TCCGGAAGGTCTGACACTTTTATATATATATATTAAATTAAAGCTAATGTAATGTACTTTATTTTGAAAAAAAAAATTTGACCTCTGGACTTCGTGGTGAATATGGCTAACGAATGCTATTTTTGTATGAAATTTCTCGATTTTATATTTTACATTTTTTACAGGGGGGTCGCGTAACAGAGGTGATATGGCATAGATGGATCAAGTATAATGATATCTGACAGTGATTAAAATCACTATAAAAAAAAAACGCTTCGATGCAAATCTTTAGATAGTGTTTAATTTTAAAAAATTGGTGGATTATTTCAAAAGCTACATGATCTGCTAGTTCATTATTAATACCCTGATTAAGATAAAGTATGTCGAATGAAAAAGGGATTATTAAAAAATATTATTTTTAATCCACCAATTTTTTAAAATTAAACATTATCTAAAGATTTGTATCGAAGCGTTTTTTTTTTTATAGTGATTTTAATCACTGTCAGATATCATTATACTTGATCCATCTATGCCACGTCACCACTGTGCTGGGTTTTCTATAGATATATTTACCTATCATTTTGTATATATTTTTTTATAAATTTGAACCTTAACATGCCCACAAGGTGTGATTCAAAATGACAACTTTTTTACAAAAAATTAACTTTGTCAACTTAACTTTTTAAAGTGTTACAATACAATACTAAATATTAAACATCAATTTCATACTACATTGAATTGCTTTAATAGATATTTATACTTATAAATGAACTATTAATTAGAAATTATGATAGAAATAAGAGTTAATTTTGTTTTTTAGAATAATCAACCAATTTCTTAAAATTAAAGACAATCTACAGATTTGCATCGCAGCGTTTTTTATGATAGTGATTTTAATCACTGTCAGATATCATCTATACTGGACCCAACTATACCACTATTCCCATTGCGCTGGGTTTTTTTTTTTTTATTTGTACTTTTTTTTTTTTTGCAAGTTATCATTTTTTATTCAATATAAATTTCCGAAAAAAAATTCCTAACTACATATCTTGAATTCCTAATATTAAACAGAGTACATGTAAAATGCACTCAGATCTAAATCTTCATATACAAATAAACAACATAAGATTACAAGAGACGAGAATTCTGCTACCTTGGAAGTATCATGGCTTTCAATAACAAATCAACACATGACATTAGTAGAAGAATAGTATTGGCAAAGCAAGCATTCCAAAACAAGAATCAGCTTCTTAATAATAAACTTCTGAGTATTTCGCATATGTAAAAGATTTGTTAAGACATTTGCTTGTAGTATGCTTTCATATGGCAGTAAAACATGGACAACTAACAAGAAAGACAGACGTAAACTAGAAGCATTAGTGTTATGGACATGGAGCAAAATGACAAAGACCAATAAATGAGTAGACAAGAAAAGAAATGAGCAAGTAAGAGAAGAAAGACAGCTAATGAAGGTGATTGAATCAAGAAAAATAAAGTTAATTGGACATATCATCCGATACAATGACTTAATAATTAACATCTTCGAAGAAAAAATTACTAGGAAGAAACCAAGAGAACGCCTAATGAAACAAAATTTTGAAAATATCCTGTAACTCATGAACTGTACGTCTTTTATTTCACTGAAGAATTTGGCGTCAACAGAGAGGAGTGACTCCAATGATAAGGCATTGCCTTTAATAGATTATTATGATGAATATTAAACACAAAATTAAACTATTTTTGTTTAAAAAAAATTATATTTTATGGATATGAAATAAAGTATTTAAAACGATATTTACATGTTATACAAATCGTTCAATATAAAAAGACAATGTCTAAATTTTCGTAAAAACATGGAAATAATTCAATAGCAAAATTTTTATAAAAATATAAATACCTAAAATGTATGAATTTTTTATATACAAATTTGCTCAAATATCAATTCTTAGAAAATAAAATAAAGATAAACCTCAATATAACAATAATTGTTATAATAATAATTATTATTAGGTTTTGTTTTTTATTCTTGGTAAGCTATTTAGGAAGATGTAATTTTAAGAGGCAGACATTTTGCTTTAGATTTTCTTTTCCTTGTATTTTCGTTGCCTCCTACTTGATCAGGCCACACGAATCCCTATGTTCTATTTGTGCAGGCGGTGGACGTTTTTATTATTATTAAAAATCTAAAGAGTCTCGCAAGAGATTTATGTGAACGTTGCAGGGTGAAACGAGTCGTATAAGGATAAAATATATTGTTTTGTGTAAGCAAGTCAGAGGCGCGCGCACGTATGTCATAAATATGCGATGGACGGCATCGAAAACAGTAAAATATATTATTCGTTTTTTCCCCTTTAAGGATGGCAGTGGTAGTAATTCTCTGAAGTGACAGCAAGCCGCCAGTTTCATCGTATATCATTTAAGCCGGCGGCTTTTATTCCTATTGTGTATGCATTGCCATGCCGCTGTTTCCTCCAATAGAAATTATCCATGTTGCTAGTAAAACAAAAAAATATAAAGACCAACAATATTGAACTGAATCTATACTAATTTTTATTTTATGAATTTGTTTGGAAATTAATCGCATAATTTGTAACTTTTAAAAATAATTTCAAAAAATGTATTTAAATATGCAACAAAATTCATAGATACATTAATTTTTGTTACATAACAAAAACCATTAATAAATTACATATATTTTTATTATTGTAAGTTTACAAAATGTCAATATTTCATAATAATTGCTTAACTAAGGCATAAAAAAATTTATTAGAACTGTTTGTCATTTAAAATTATTCTATTCGAATATCGTTTAATAATTATTACAACTGGAATTTAACAATCAATATTTCAAAAATTTCACATTTTCAAAAGCTGCTTAATTTTAGATATTTGTTTATTTTATTTAAAATTAAAGGCGGTCATTTCAATTTTTGGATAAGATAAATGTCAGTCCAGTGAAAAATGCATTTTTATGGACAAAAAAAAACATTAATGTAAATATAACTCCATAGCTTTGTATCCCAGTAAAACATTAATTTGAACTGTTCGTCATTTAAACTGTTTTTAGTTGAATATCATTTAATTATCATTAGAACTTTATCGGACAAATAAAATTTATTAGAATGTAATATATATACATAAATTAAAAAATAATATTTATTCAAAAGGAAAACAAACGAGGAATAAGATAGGGTTAATGCATGCCAAATCATCCAGAAGTGGTTGCACGATCACCTCATATTTTTGTGAAATTTTCAGGGTTATTCATTATGCTATATTTAGATTAAAACAATTTTTTTTTTATGATCTTTCCATTTTTATGGCTATTTCAATGTAAAAAAAGTTAAAAATAGCTAAATCGTTAAAAAACACACAGATTATTCAATTTCAACTCAATCGAATTAAAATTTTAGATTTGATCCTATTATAACTTAAAGTTTACATTAAAAAAAAAAATTAATGTGAAATTCTAAACTTTAATAACTTTCAAAAAATGGCGCTTTTTTTGTGAAAATTGGCGTTTTTGAGCTAACTTAAAACCATTAAGAAGTTATTAATTTATTGTGATTTTTACATGTGGTATTGTGTAGTGTATAATCTATGTTTCAACTAAATTTCTAATATTTAAAACAATTATCTTGGGATTTAGAGGCCTACAAAGTTAGAAATTTCATAAAAATACGTGTATTTTAAGTGCAATATCTCTGTTGGGGGACCTAATTTCCAAAAAAAAATTTTTAGTTTTGTAAATATATGTATATATACTTTATACAACATAAAAATTTGAAGTTTCAGAAAAATGTGTAACATGTAAAATTTAGTATCAGAAAATCAGTAAAAATCAAATAATTTAATGACAGTTTTTTGTTGTTTTCAAACTACATTTTTGTAATTTTTTTATACATCATTGTATATGTAATATATTATAATTCAATATAATTATTAAACACGTTATAAATATTCAATTCATTATTTTAGCTAGAAAAAAAAATTAATAAATAAAATTATTATGATAATAATGTAAAATTTTTCTTGTATAAATATATTTTAATTCTGTCTATTTCTTGCTGCTTGAAGTGCATGAGGATATATCCATGTTTACAGTTGTATTCTGACGTTTCGGACTCGTTGCAGAGTCCATCTTCAGAGTGATGGTTGCTAGTCGGTGGCTGCAACTATACTAGCCTAAGTATAGCTGCAGCCACCTTCAATGAGTCCGAAACGTCAGAACTCAACTGTAAACATGGATATATCCTTAAGCACTTCAAGCAACAAGACAATCCATTAAAGTTTTAACACATTCTGTCTATTTCATTAAATTTTTGTATTTTTACAAATAAATTTATTAATAAAATGTTTATATAATCTTCTATACGTAGAAGTTGAAATACATAATATATAGGCAGTAGTAAAACACACAAACCTACCTATATCATTAATTTCGACATACGACTTTTGTATTTTATAATAAACATATTGATAGTGAGAAATAATATACTCACATAATTTAGTTGTTTTACACAAATTCATTAATCCCTTGTAAATATATAACAAAAATGAATTAATAAAGATCTTATTTAATAAAAATATAATGTCTTTAATATACATATTCATTTTACAAATATCATGCTAAAAATGTATCATAAAATAATCAAAATTTAATTTTTATATTAATATCATAATTACTCAGTGTATGACTTAGTGACTTGTGTATCGTGATTTAATGTACGTAATATTTTTTTCACAGAAAATAACGCTAAATTATTGTGCCAGCAATCGGATACACGAGTAAAATTGTGAAAACACCACAAGACAGTAAAGCTAAATAAAAGCTAATAAAGCATTCACATACAATTAAAAAAGCTATTTTTGTACTTGCATTTCTTACGTTTTAAAATTAACATATTGTTTATATATATATATATATCTTTATAATAAGTTATATATTGTTATTATTATATATTACTTTTTTATACAATTTGAAATATATTATTTAAAAAAAAATGAATAAAAGTGGAAATATTACAAATTCCATGACAAACAACCCGTCAGTTGGGTTTTGGAAAAAAACCTGGGCAAATATTAAGAAAATCTCTCTAAAAAAATGTAAGTATTTAAACTTTATTAGAGTTCTAGATAAGATCTTCTCAAATTACATTTTTTTCGATTTTATTAGCTTATGGTAATTCCGAAGTAAAGGTCCGTCAAACGAAATCCCAACAAAAGAGTATGTCAGTATGGAATTTTTGCAAACAACACATAAAAAGAAAGTTTGAACTGTGTTTATGCTGTGTCAAATCTACTCCTGACGAATTAGATGAAGAGGAAGTCTATGAACCTCTTCAACATTTTGTAAATCCACAAATTTGTAAAGAGTTAAATACACATGGAGTACTGCTTTCTGACGTTTTGAAAAACGCAATACTTCAATTAACGTTGAATAATTTTTATAATGGTTATCTTTTTTTCTCAAACGAAATCCGTCATAAAGAAAAAATTTACAATTTAGTTGTCAACGTAAGACTTAAACATGAATATCTTAAAAAAATCGAAAACGAATTCTGATTTGTTATAATATATTAGGTTTTTTTATGGAAAATAAAGCTAAATTATGTGCCAACAATCGGATACACAAATAAAATTGTGAAAACGCCACAAAACAATGACTCTGGTGATAAAAAACATGGTAAAGTGTTGAAAAAGAAAACTCTCCTTACTTTTCCAACGATAAGTCATGCGTCGCAAGGTAATCAAAATTTTATTTTTAAATTCATTTCATAATTATTCAGGACTTAGTGTATGTAATATTTTTAGTGGGCTGTGGTCTAAAAAATCAAGGCGCCACTTGCTACATGAACGCTTACATCCAAGTGTTGTTTCACACACCGGAATTCCGGAACGTTNCAGGACTTAGTGTATGTAATATTTTTAGTGGGCTGTGGTCTAAAAAATCAAGGCGCCACTTGCTACATGAACGCTTACATCCAGTGTTGTTTCACACACCGGAATTCCGGAACGTTATTTTGAACATGGCTCATGATCGTTGTACCGGTGACGACATAAGCTACAACGTTGGACAACAGCTCCGGAATCTTTTTCTTAGATTACTTGAAAGAAAAACATCAGCAGTAGAAACAAAAGAGCTAACTAATAGTTTTGGTTGGACGCAAAAGAACTTCAAAATTCAACAAGACGCTCAAGATTTTGGCCGGTTCAATTCACAAATTACAATTTTTGGTTATGTTGTGCTTCTGGACTAAATATTTGTGAAACTAAATCCCACGAAAAAAAGACGTCAATATAGAAATATTGTAAACATCAGTTAAAAAGAACGTTTAAACTGTCCTTCTGCTGTTTCCACTTTACTTTTGACAAGTCGAACGATGAAGAACACTACAAGTTTCATCATAAGAGCACACTTAAAGTTGTGGAAATTACAACAGATATCGTTAATTTTGTTAATCCACAGGATTCTAGTGAATTAATTTTGCTTAAATTATCGTTTTCTGATGTCTTGAAGAAAGTTTATCTTAAAAAACTAATGAAAAACCTCATCATAATTTTTCGTATCCAATGGATTGTAATGGTTAAGAAACTTCCACTTTGTGGTGTACGCAATTAATGGACCCGTAAAATTCAAAATAAACAGGGTTTAATGAATTAAAGTCCTTTAATGTATTACTTTCTAGAGTCTTGAAGAAAATAACATTTAACATTGAATTACTTCTATGAAAGTTATAATTTCATATCAGATGAATGCCGTTTTGATGAAATAGTTTAGTTTATTTTTCAACGGAAGGTTTAACTTAGAATATGAAAAAAAAATTAGAACAAATTCTGATTTGTTGTAAAATATTAAGGTACTTATAGAATATAACACTGAACTATATGACAGCAACAGAGTATATGAGTAAAATTATGGAAACTCCATAGGACAATGTTGTAAGATCACATAATTTTTGAGATAAATTTTCTCTCCTTAGTTTTCCACCGTTAAGTCATTCTAAAAATGTTTCGTAAAGTAATCAAAGCCAAGGCTGCACTTGCTAAACGAATGCATATCTCCAAATATTTTACCACACTCCGAAATAATCTGGTTTTTATTTTGTTATAGTTTTTTTTTAAATCAAACTAAAATAACTATGACATACAATTAATAGAATTTCTTTTAAGAAATTATTGACGTCCTCTTGCTTTTAAAGTCTGAAGTATCAATAAGATGTCTTCATATTTTTTTTTACACAATACATCAAACTTTGAATAAATTCTCAACCTTCTTTATGTTTCAGTCTGATATATATTACAGTAGTATTTGTTGTATATGTTCTTTGGCTGATTCATATGAATTCTATGAGTTATTTAATTTATTACATTTTATATAAACGAACAGAATAACTGACGATTAAAATGATTTTGATGGACTAGGATATTTTAATTTAATAAATATATTATTTACTTTTCTATCACCATGGTTATAAATATGTTTATAAAAACAATCATACAATTTAATTAAAAATTTTCATTGTATTTTGTAACCATTTGAAATTTTAAGTTCACATTTGAAAATTATGTGTACACGTACTTAATATCGTGTTATTATAATCTTTTACATGATGTATTCTTAAGACATATTACATCAGTCCTTAATTTAAGTACAATATTTTATAGCACACCTACACATTGAACTTAATTTTTTTCAAATTTTGTCCAATAAAAATATAAAATCGAGAATTTTTTAACGAAAATTGTATGTTTTTCTTTACTTTTATGTTCGTTTACACCATGAAGACAAATCTAGAGGTCAATTTTTTTTTTTTGTAATAAATTATATTACAGTAGCTTTAATTTAAGATATATATAATAGTGTCAGTATTTCCGGAACACAACCAAAGTCAAGTTGAAAAAGTTTATTTTATGTAAAAGAGTTGTCATTTTAAATCCTATTTGTGAGCAGGTATAAGTCAGATTTATAAAAAAATTATACAAAATGATAGGCAAAGACATCATGCATCTATAAAAAAAAATTATATTAATTTGGTCATTTTTAAAAAAAGTTATGACAGTTTTATGTAAAAGAAGAAAAAATGTCGAAATTCAGCGATTTTTAAATTTGTAATTTTTTTTGAGATATCCCCCATTTAGGGGGAACAAGGGAAATTTTTTCAATTTTTGAAGGTAATGTCTTCGACTACGATACGATTTTTGCGTAATTTTTTTTATTAAATGAAAATATATAGTTCCTCGTGGTTATTTACAATAAAATGAGTCAAAGAAGAACTATTACCTACACCACGACATTGTTTTTAAAACACTCATACTTAATATATTGGCAGTAGTAAAATACCAAAACAGCACATTAACCACCTATATAATTAGATCCTTTTTCCAACAAATATTCTCGTTATGCTCATAATATGAGATATGCACGTTACAAAAAACACAATAGATACCTATAATTTTGTGGTTGAGTTAGCGTTGTAAAATAGTGTAATTTGCTGTATCTTTTACGCCTATATATTAAAGCTCGTAAACTATAAATTGTATAGATACATTTTTCTAACGTTTATTACTAACTGTAAATTTAACTGATTTGATTAGGTACTTAAAATCATTAGTATTATGTATTATGTATAAGTATTATGAAAATTTTTTTTTTTTTAATTTTCTGATGAAGGTAATTAAGATACTTAATCTTTTTTTGGGATTCTTTGACCGAGAGGAACCTAATAATTATTAAAACGACTTATCTTTTATGATTAATTATTTATACAATATTAAAAATTTACTATTTATCAACTATTATAATTGTCGACAAATAATGAATTGGTAATTACCTATTCATTAAAAGTTAATAGGTATTTTTATTTTCAACTGTTGCATATTTTATACAAAAAAAATTAATGCTGACTATTAATGATATTTAAGGGGTTTACACACTCCAAAACCACCTATAAAATCAACGGTTATAATAAATTCATAAAACAATTATCTATATGATATTATATAATAAAAATTTATTAATATGCCTAATATTATTTAAAATTAATAATATAAATTAAAAATTAAAAAATATTTAAATCAAAAGCCAGTTACATATACATTTATCGTAAAATTCAAATTCCCGATTTTATGTAATTTTTGAGTTAAATATTTTTTAGTTTTTAATATATATTTTACATATATTTTTATTTTTAGATATATAATATTACCTATTAAAAAATCGTGTATCAAATAAAACAATAGTTCTTATTTGAAATTTTGCAAGTGATCTTAAATAAGTTTTTCAGAATATTTTCAGATATCTTGGACTAATAACTATCTGTCCGTAGATGAACTCTACAGAGATTTGATAACAGTTGATTTAAGAGGATATTAATTTATCTCTGAAGAAATCTATCATACTTAAAATATATTGATCGATAACGAATTTTGAATTATACTTCAAAAGTTTTATCATTCTTAAATATAATGTGTAGACGAGGTGCAGGTTATATTATTTTTATAATTACGCACTCTTTTTATATTGATATAAATATGAACTAACTATCTAAAATTTATTTTATAAGAGAAAATAAAAAGTAATATTTTTCAAAATGTTCAACCCAACGTTTTTTTGTATTCAAATTGCTAACCGCTCTGACATGATGTTGAATATTTCTATTTAGTGGATCATAATATGAGATATTATAAATATATTAGCTTTAATATTATTAAATTAATTTATTCATCTCTAATTTTGAAAATGGAAAAATTTAATTTTGTCATTTTAGTTGCCACCATCATGACTTTTAAAAATCAAGATGATTAAACGTTACATTTTCCATTTAATAAATCTTAAATTTCTAGAATTGTAAGGCTATTAAAGTTTCAAGATGAATCATAAAATCTTTTACTACCATGATGACTCGCACACATAGAAAGTCTCTTGCTGTTATAAAATATTTTCAATGGAGAGTACATAAAAAAGTAATCATACATAACTCAAGAGATACTATCATTAGGGCGGTAATCGCTTATTTCTCATGGAGGATAAGGCAATATATGTAATTAAAGAGGGGATATATTAACGTTATTTATTTATCGATTCGACTATTGCCCGTCGGGGTCTCATAAAATCGAGCACGACCGAATTACGTGAAAACGCCATTTTGTAATTAAACTCTTAACGACACATTAATATCGTCTAGAATAGGGTCTTAATCAAGTGTAATCTTTAAATACTAGCCTTTAAACAAGTATAATAGAAGATACTATTCTAAAGATATTATAACTTGAATAAATATTGTAAAAATTTAAGAGGCACCAAAAAATATATTCAGAGAAACAACAAACTGCTCTATTGTCAAATGGTTTTAGATAATATACATTTTATTAAGAACAAAACTAACAATAAATCAATAAATAATGATTTTTTCTTAAATAGCGTGTACAAAATACCGTTTTTGAAGTTAAAAAGACATAGATAATCTATTATAAAAATGCGGTTCGTTATTCAAAATATTTCAAATGATGGAAATATTTTTGGTTTAACTTATACAATTATTAAATAAATAAACTCCGATCTGCATATTTATTATTAATGAGGGGAAATCAATTTAAATGATACCTATTATAACTTATTATAACCTATTTAAACAAACTTACAAAATTATTCATTTTAGGGGAGTTTTATTTCAAAAATAAATACAAAAATTGTTTTTAAAAAAATAAACGGAGTGATTTTTTTATATTAACCCAATCATATATTTAAACTAAAAATAAAAATATATTAATTTAATTATATTTTCTTTTAGTAATATACTTTTTTCAATTTATCAATCATGAATCAGTTTATGACATTGAAAAATTTCAGACATTTTACTATCAAAATTTAAATTATTCAATTTCTTTAAATGATGACTGAAATTATCGAAGTATAAATGTACAATATAGTACGTCTATTAACGACTGAATAATTATATAGAATGTTCAGTTAGTAAGGAAACTGGTTTCTATTGTTCTCATTATTTGTAATAATTGATCTGTTTCCTTAATTACTGAACACGTTGTATAATACTAATAAATGTCGATGGGGAAAAATAGGTTCTAATCGACATTTTATTCTGAATAAATAAACTTTGTTATCATTGGACACTTTGAGGTAGATAATATATTTTATTATTCACGACTCTTTTTATGATTGTCTTACAAAATATAATTTTAATTTTAATTTCAAATTTTTTTCAGTTTTAACAACTGCCGTTTCATTGTAATATAAGTG